AACAATAATTATCAATAAAAGTAATGAATCTTCACTTACCTCTTCAATGGTAGCCAAAACCCTCTCAAAACTTACCCCTAACTGAGCTCTAAAAGTCCAAAATGATAAAAATGGCTTAAACCCTCGATTATATCTCTGCCTAGCAATTCTCGCACATGCGGCTCACTTAACCACATCTGCGGTCCCGTAGGTGCAGCACAAATCTCGCTTCTATTATTCCTCTATGGCCTCTGACCTTCCGCATTTGCGAAATATGATATCGCATCTGCGGAGGTGCACCTGCGCTAAATCCTCCGCTTTGCGGAACGTCCTGCCCATCACAAAATCCTCTTCTGTGAACACCTCGTCGCACCTGCGACCCCTCTCCTGTGTCCCGTTTCCGCTTCCGCAAACTTGCAGAAGAAGAGTCCTCTCACACATGCGCTCTCAGGAAGCCTCCCCAAAACCTCACACTTGCGCACAGGTGGCCGCTTTTGCAGCTCCGCACCTACGGCCAAAACATCGCAGGTACAGTCACACCAGAACTGAAGCCAACATAATTTCTCTAAGTCCAAACCTCAATTCGATTTCAATCTGAATCACACCTGAGGCCCCGGGACCCCATCCAAACATACCAACACGTCCTAAAATACGTTCCGAACTTAGTCGAAGCCTCAAATCATATCAAACAACATCAAAACAGTAAACTGTACCCCAATTCAAGCCTAATGAAACTAATGAATTTCCAACTTCTAAAACCAATGCCAAATTGTATCAAACCAACTCTGATTGACCACAAATATTGCACACTAGTCCCAAATGACACAACAGACCTATTCCAACTCTCGGAACCAAAATCCAAACTCGATATCAATAAAGTCAACTCTTGGTCAAACCTCTCAAACTTTCAAACCTTCAATTTTCCAACTTTCGCCAAAAAGCCTTAAACCAACCTACGGACCCCCAAATCATTATCCCGACATACGCCTAAGTCCAAAATAACCATAAGAAGCTATTGGAACCATCAAAACTCCATTCCGGAGTCATTTGCATAAAAGTCAAACTCCGGACAACTCTTTCAACTTAAGCTTCCAACCTTGGGACTAAGTATTCCAATTCACTCTGAAACATCCCCGGAACCAAACAAACCACCCCGGAAAGTTACGTAACCACAAATTAACATAGAAGAAGTGATAAATGGGGGAATGGGGCTACAATACACAAAACGACCGGCTGGGTTGTTACATTCTCCCCCTCTTAAACAAACGTTCATCCTCGAACGGGTCTAGAATCATACCCTGTGTCTCAAATAGGTGTGGATAACTGCTCCGCATCTCTCTCCCAGTCTCCCAAGTAGCCTTCTCGACTTGCTGGCCTCTCCACTGAAGTTATATTCTTTGATCTCAACTTTCGAACATGCCAATCCAAAATAGCCGCCGACTCCACCTCAAAAGTTAAATCCACATCTAACTGAATCGTGCTAAAATCCAAAACATGAGACGGATCACCATAATACTTCCTGAGCATAGAAACATGAAACACTAGGTAAACTCCCAATAGACTAGGTGTCAATGCAAGCTTATAGGCCACCTCTCTAATCCTCTCAAGCACCTCAAAAGGGCCAATATACCGAGGGCTTAACTTGCCCTTCCTCCCGAACCTCATCACACCCTTCATGGGTGAAACTCTGAGCAATACCTTCTCTCCCACCATATATGCAACATCACGAACCTTCCAATCAACGTAACTCTTTTGTCTAGATTGTGTTGTATGAAGCCGATCCTGAATCAACTTGACTTTCTCCAATCCCGAACCAAATCAGTACCCAATAACCTAGACTTTCCCGGCTCATACCAACCAACTGGAGATCGACACCGCCTCCCATATAAGACCTCATAAGGAGCCATCTAAATAATTGATTGGTAATTGTTGTTGTAGGCAAACTCTACAAACGGTAGAAACTGATCCCAAGAACCCCCGAAATCCATAACACAAGTGCGTAACATATCCTCCAAGATCTTAATGGTGCGCTCAGGCTATCCATCCTTCTGGGGGTGGAATGCTATACTCAACTCAACCCGTGTGCCCAACTCTCGCTGCACTGCTCTCCAAAATTGTGATGTGAACTGCATGCCTTGATCGGAAATAATGGACACTAGCACACTATGAAGACGAACAATCTCACAGATATAGATGTGAGCTAGCCGCTCTGAAGAATAGGTAGTCACAATTGGAATGAAATGTGTGGACTTAGTCAACCGGTCCACAACCACCAAAACTGCATCAAATTTCTTCAAAGTTTGTGGGAGCCCAACAACGAAGTCCATATTAACTCGCTCCCATTTCCACTCGGGGATCTCAAGTCTCTGAAGAAAATTGCCCGGCCTCTGATGCTCATACTTTACATGCTGACAGTTCAAACATCGAGCCACATACTCCACTATATCTTTCTTCATTCTTCTCCACCAATAGTGTTGCCTCAAATTCCGATACATCTTGGCGGCACCCGGATAAGTGGAATACCGCAAACTGTGGGCCTACTCAAGAATCAACTCACGCAACCCTTCCACATTGGGCACACAAATCTGACCCTACATCCGTAACACCCTATCATCTCCAATAAAAACCTCCTTAGCATCACTATGTTGCACCGGGGTCATCATACTGACACTCTCTTATGCGCTCATACAAAGAAGACCGAGAAACCACACAAGCAAGAACCTGGCTAGGCTAAAAAATATCTAACCTCACGAACTGATGGGCCAAAGCTTGAACATCCGATGCTAGCGGTCTCTCACCAACTGGAATATATGCAAGGCTACCCATACTCACAGTCTTTCTGCTCTAGGCATCGGCCACCACATTGGCCTTCCTGGGATGATACAAAATGGTGAGATCATAGTCTTTTAACAACTCCTACCACCTCCAATACCTCAAGTTTAGATCGTTTTGCGTAAACAAGTGTTGTAGACTCTAATGATCTGTGAATACCTCACAAGACATACCGTAGAGGTAGTGCCTCCAAATCTTTAGTGCATGAATGAATGGGGCACCATTCTGGGTCAATCTAGTCAAAGGTGCTACAATTGATGAAACACCCTTCACAAAATGGTGATAATAACCTGCCAAACCCATGAAGCTCTGAATATCAGTAGTTGAAGACGGTCTAGGCCAACTCTGAACTGTCTCAATTTCTTCGGATCTACCTTGATCCCCTCATTGGACACAACATGTCCCAAGAACGCCATAGATTCAAGGCAAAACTCACACTTGAGGAATTTAGCATATAACTTCTCCTCCCTCGTTTAGAGTACAATCCTCTGATGCCTCGAGTTTAGATCTTTTTGCATAACAAGTGTTGTAGACTCCGATGATCTGTGAATACCTCACAAGACATACCGTAGAGGTAGTGCCTCCAAATCTTTAGTGCATGAACAATGGTTGCCAACTCTAAATCATGAACGAGGTAGTTCTTCTCATGGAGCTTCAACTAGCATGAAGCATAAGCAATCACCCTACCCTCTTGCATCAAGACACACCCAATATCAATCCGAGAAGCATCACAATTAATCGTATATGAACCCGATGTTGACGGCAAAACTAGAACTAGAGTTGTGTTCAAGGCAGTCTTGAGCTTCTGAAAGCTCTCCTCACACTCGTCAGACCAACTGAATGGGGCACCCTTCTGGATCAATCTAGTCAAAGGTGAAGCAATGGATGAAAAACCCTCCACAAAACGGCGATAATAACTTGCCAAACCCAAGAAGCTCCGAATCACAGTAGCTAAAGACGGTCTAGGCCAACTCTGAACTGCCTCAATTTCTTCGGATCTACCTTGATCCCCTCACCGGACACCACGTGCCTTATGAATGCCTCATAATCAAGCCAAAATTCACATTTTGAAAACTTAGCATATAGTTTCTCTTCCCTCAACATCTGTAGTACAATCCTGAGATGTTGCTCATGATTCACTAGTCTGCGTGAGTACATCAGTATATCATCAATGAATACTATAACAAAAGAATCAAGATATGACTGGAATACATTGAAAATCAAATGCATAAATGCTGCTGGGGCATTGGTCAGCCCGAAAGACATCACAAGAAACTCGTAGTGACCATAGCGGGTCCTGAATATCGTCTTCAGAATATCAGAACCCTGAATCTTCAATTGGTGATAACTAGACCTCAAATCAATCTTAAAGAACACTCCAGCACCCTGAAGATGGTCAAATAAGTTATCAATGCGCGGTACTGGGTACTTGTTCTTAATTGTAACTTTGTACTGCCTGTAATCAATGCACATCCGCATAATACCATCCTTCTTCTTCACAAACAGACCCGATGTACCCCAAGGAGACACACTAGGCATAATGAATCCCTTATCAAGTAGCTCCTGGAGCTGTTCTTTCAATTCTTTCAACTCTGCTAGTGCCATACGATACGAGGAATAGAGATGGGCTGAGTGCCCGACACCAAACCAAAATCAATGTCCCTATCTATTGGCATGTGTTGCTCCCAAACGCACACACAAGTATACGTGGTCGTACAAGTAATAAAATGATAAGTCGAGTGTCGAACCCATAGATACTTATGTTAACTACCCACTAGTTTCACCAAGATTATTATTCAGTCAAGTCAATCAGAGTTCAAAAGAGTGGTTATCCTAATCAATAATTCTAACAAGTAACTAATTTATCAAGCATCAAAATAGTTATTGTGTATTCAGTAGAGACAAATATTCCAGGGTTGTGATCGATTCACCACTCCTATTGTTCTCTAATTAACTCTCTCATTCATACAATTCAGTCATGATTGCTAATTAAAGCAACAAAAATAGCTTTTAGTGGCAATTATTTAGTGGCAATTATTTAGTGAACAATTGTTCACTTCAACAAAAATTGTTTTAATGCCGCTAAACTATTACCGGCATATGCAATGCCAGCAAACAGTCTATTTTTAATTCGCTATTTAAAAAAACAGCCAGCAAAAGAGCATATTCTTTTTTATCTTCCCTCCAAAAACAAACCCTATATGTTTTTATTTCCCTCTCTCTCTTCTCTAACGCATCCCGCCTATGGCTTTCATTCAGCCGACAACCTCACTCTCATCATTTAGTGAAAAACAAGAATACTCTTTCAAAGTTCCATGATTCTGAAGGTTGTGGTGTTAGATTTACTCCAATCAAGGCAGCGGCTGACTTAACCTCAATTTATGGGAAAATTCTTTGTACGAGATCAATCTATGTCTCTCATTTACATATATTTAATTTCTCTTTATGAGTGAATGGATGATTGATTTGCTAATGCTTCTTGTTGTCAATTGGAGTAAACTCTCTTTTTCCTTTTCTTCAATTTTTCAATGCTATACATTAAATTGATTTTTTAGATTGGCATGTTTTGTGATCATCTTGTAATCATAGGAGTATGGGTTTAACTCAGATTCATTTGTTTTCTCTATTTAGCTTGTGATTTGGTATAATTATCTTTTATTTGTTTAAACTATTATTACTGCTTGTGGTGTTTCTTCTAGAGGAGAATATAAGAATTAAGAAGCCTATGTGGTGTTTGATAAAATGCCACAATAGAAAACAATAATTACTATATAATGGTGTAGTGTTTCGCAAGTAGTTCCTCAAATATTTAAAAGATGAGATATCATTTTCAGATATTCGTATGCTTTGATTTTTTTGTTTATGAGTTAAGTTATTGAAGAACAATAGAAGTACCCCCGAGTTAAATGAGGCTGTTAAGGTTGTATGATTGGTTCTACTGGAGCAAACAAAGATGTTATCATGACATTGCTTCAATTCTTAGACCACCATAAGACTCGAGTCCTCATGATCTGGAAGCTTTTATAGTGTTCTGACTTACAAATGATGACTATATTTCTTGGTGTTCCATCTTCAAACTGAAGCTGTTTTTGGCCTTCGAATTTAGTCAAGATGCTTTTGTAAATATTGAATCTATTATACTTCTTTTGGATTATCAGGTCTTGCTATGTATTTTGTGTCTTTGTTTTCAAGAAATTGACGAGATTATGACAACATGAGCATAAGAAATGAAAAATTCAGCTTCTGCAAGAAGTCAATTTGTTGATGTAGCAGCCTAAGCAACTAGATATTTCAAATATACTGGTGACAAGCTTGACGACATGGCTGTCACTGATGATATAATGATTGAGGTGTAAGATTTGAAATCTAATTCAAGGTCTTCCTCCTTCGAATTGTAAGCACTTTTGAGTTCTCAAATAAATTGCATGCAACTCTCTTGTTGAGGGGTTCACTTGCATCTCTTAGTTTGTATCTCATATATACATTTAAAAATAAAAATATATTATGTGATAGCTCATAGTATTAATGAGTGGTGATGACACAAATGATACTCTACAGTAATACTTTTAATAATCAGCTAATCCTTTTTGAATTAGAAAGGGTGACAAACTAAATATTTTAATTTTGTATTTGTAACTTCAACTTAAACTTCACTATGATGATCTATGTTAATTCACACCTAAGTTGTTGCAGTGATTGGCAGGATTACTTATAAGTTATAAGCTATATCTTACTGGTTCTGTCGCTTGTAGCATGCCATTTCAATGACGTGACACGTGTGCTCTACTCGTTTTATAACGACTTTTGATTCTACATATACATCCTACTTCTATTCTTACATTAATCTTGGGCTTGAGTACTTCCATGTTATATTAGTGAAAGTGATAGTCTTCTTACTACTTTTTTTATTTTCTTAAGGTTAAGCTCTAACATTTGTTTTCTTGAACTGACCGGACACTAAATAGGAACTATGACAAAATAGATATTTGGGGCCTTGCAGCTTATATATATACTTTTTTGTTGAATGAGGCTTTTGGATAATTATTTGATTTTACTTTGAAATATACAGATACTGAATAAAGTCAACTAATTCTCACATATGTCTTATGGATTGTGATTCCCTTTAAAACTGAAGTTTGAATCTATATTCTTTTAGTCCCTTTGCCTTCTCTAGTACAGATATATTGGCATATTCAGCCAGAAAATATTCTAGTGATCTTTTGCCTTTTCAGTTATTAATGACTTGGTCTTCTTCTACGATGTTTCGTGGAAGTAACTCTTTTATAATATCAAATGAGTGAATAGTTTTAAATTTTGATTTAACTTCTGCACTTATTCATTTTTGTCTCAACTAGCTCAAGAATAATAAGGACAATTTTGTTGCAGAGTTTAAATAATAAATCTATCATATAGAGTTTTATTGTTATAATGTAATAGCACTAAATGCCACTCAGCATGCTACATCAAGTAAATTACTTGATTTGATAGTGTATTTCCATTTCTCTAAGATGTATGCAAGCATTCTGATTATTTTTTCTTCCTCACTGTGCAAGTTTTAAGTATTAAGTCACACAAAAATTGTAAGACCATCTCCTAGCTTCTCGTCATTATAGAAAAATTTCTTTTTGATGTACTTTATGCATATATATCAGTGATTGTCTTTGTCTATAAATTGGCTTGCTTAGTGTTATTTGAGTTACTTAGAAAAGTTCTATTTTTATTATGTGAGGAAATACTTGTAACCCACATGATACATTCAAGCCTGCTTTCTTTTTCAAAGAAGAATTCAGTACATATGTTACTTTAACAAGAATCAGGGACGTTGCTTTCTTTGGTTGATGGCTGCATCTGGAGAGTTTTAACTTCAAATATGATTGGTGTTGTGTGGATAACTGCAGTTCCATGATGAAAGTGGCCATGTTCATTCTCTAAAGATCTTTTCCACTGCTTTTGAAGTATAACTTTAGTCTGGTGAGACTCTTCAAAGGTTAGTTGAAAGCTATAATATTTTGGTGAATTTTTAAGCTGTAAGTTGGATGAGGCTTTTGCTGCAACTTGATCTGGTGCAATTTAGCCAATCTATTTGGTGCGTAGATGAATCTTCAAGCTAGAATTTCATGTGGAAAACTTCCAATATGATCAAGAACTGCAAAGAGATACTTGTTGGGCTTCAAATAACATTAGATTCAATTGATCTATTTTTTCTCTTATGTTGTTGAAACTATGGATGGAATTTTTTTCCCTATGGATTCAATGAAATACACTACGAATTTTAGGATGGGGCATGTTTTATTATAATCTTTATATATTTACATTTAAATTTTTTCGACGATAACAAAAGTCATTGAAGAGATAAATAAAGGCGAATGAAAAAGTAGTTTTTGTAGCCATTTCATTAGCCGCTAAAAGAGGTTCCCGTCACCAATAAACAATGGGTCCTTACCGGTAATAGTAAAGGCTACAGATTGCATAAGGTAGCACATTTCTCAAGGAATTTTAGTGGCCATTATAATTGCCGATAAATAAATGCCACTAATGGTAATCAACTTTAGCGGGCAATAGTTGATGTCTTTACCAGCACTTGGTAGAATTGTCGCTAAAGCCTTTAGCAACGCTGCCTAGCAAATAAATAATTGCCGGTAAAGGTTTCAGCGGCAACATTTATTGCCGCTAAAGGAAAAATGTATTGCCACTAAAAACTATTTTTGTTGTAGTGATTCCTGTAGTATTCTCCTAAATTTCTACTCGCCTATTCAAAATAGATTAACGCCTATATTCATATGGAAGCAATCTATTAAGAATGCATTAAGATTGCGATATTTAATTAAGCACGGTGATTAGGTATATTTCTATCATAACCACAAATCCGCTCCCCCCAAAGTAAAGATCATGCTCTCTTCAATTCTTCTCTAATATAAATATGGCTTTCCCAAGCATAGCATAGATAGTAAATAGAACCTAAATGTTGGCCAGACAATTAAGCAATTAATCACAGAATTGAAAAAATAATCATATATTAGTGAATTGTACTCAAGGTTAAGTCAACTTTAAACAACAATATTCATGGCTAAATCACAAGCCCAGAACTATGAGTGTTAGCCACTCATGATAATATCAAAACAATTTCACAAGTGTTGAATAATTGAACATGCTAAGAAACGTTGAAGAAAACTTAGATATCCTCACTCCCGGATGTTCCTTGTGTGTATTTTTCCTTCAAAGTGGCGTCTCCCCTCTCAAAATAGGCTTAGTCTTGCTTTTATACGCGTTGGGTAGGTCTTGGGACGAAATAACCTTGTTCCGGGCAAAGTTGGAGATGTTTCCCGTCACCAGCACTCAGGGTAGCATGGGGCGCTATCCCTGGCGCTGGAAAAATAAAGTTTCTGGAAATTGCGCCACAGGTAGCGCCCCACGCTGCCTGTGGCGCTACAATGTCCCTTTTCTCCTTTTTAGCTCTAATCTAGCACCTTTCGCCACCTATTGCCTCTGGATGATTCCTACATATATAAACACCACGAATTAACATAAGTCAATACATTTTACATCCAAAATCCATGAAACACCAGTAAAACATGAGGCGATATACATATAAATATATATACTTTAAGCTAAATATCAGCATGCTCGACAGGTCTGCAGGAAACACATGCGGAAAGTCTCTCACTACCGGAACAGACTCAATGGTAGGAGTATCAACACTAACATCCTTCACAAAGGCCAAATATTCCAAACATCCCTTCTCAACCATACGTTGAGCCTTAAAGTATGAAGGCACTCTACATGAAACATAATCCAGGGAACCTCTCCACTCAACCCTAGGAAATTCCGGCATTGCCAACATCACGGTCTTAGCGTGATAATCCAGAATAGCGTGACATGGTGACAACCAATTCATGCCCAAAATCACGTCAAATTCAGCCATGCTAAGTAGTAAAAAAGATCAACTCTCATCTCCAAACCCCCAATAGTCACCACACATGACTGATATACACGGTCCACAACACTAGAATAACCCACCGGCGTAGATACATGAACATGCGTAACTAAGGAATCACGGGGCATATCCAAATAACTAGCAAAGTATGATGACACATATGAATAAGTGGAGCCAGGGTCAAATAATATTGAAGTATCTATGTGGCACACTGAAACAATACCTGTGATCATTGCATCTGAAGCAACTGCCTTTGGCCTCGCGAGAAAAGCATAGCATCGAGCTTGACCACCACCTGTCTAACCTCCCCTTCTAGGGCGACCTCGACCCGTAATACCTCTACCCCGAGCTGGTTGAGCGGGTGATGTAGCAATTGGTGCAGGGGTCATAGACTGGCCTCCCTAATGCACTGGACCTCTATAGTGACTGGGACAATACTTCCTCACATGCCCCAACTCTCCACAATCATAACAACCTCAAGCCAGAAATGACGGTGGGGCCTGTATCAGACTCCGGAAACTAGAATAGCCAATGGAAGAACCCAGTGCTGATGGAGCACGGTACGAGCTTTGACCTGGAAGTGCGCTGAAAGATGATTGACCCGGGCGAGTACTATATGAATCATGACTAGCTGATGCACCATGATGAACCGGACGAGCCATCCGAGCGGGCATGTACGGACGACCTCTACTGTGGTGTAACTGACCTCCAGATGAGGTACTACTGAAACCACAAAACCCACAGGGCCTCTTACCCTCCCGCTCCTCGTGGTCAAGAATGTGAACCGACTCCAAGCGCCTAGCAATCTCGACCAACTGGTCAAACCTAGCATACATCTCGACCTCTCGGGCTAAACTGTAACATAGGCCATAGTTGAGGCCACCAATGAACCTCTTGATCCTCTCTCTCTATCTATGTGGGAACAAACCATATAGCATGACGGGCCAAATCTATGAATCTCATCTCATACTGGGTCACAATCATATCTCCCTAGCGTAGCTGCTCAAAATCTCTATGCAGCTCTACCCTGCGAGTCTATGGGACAAACTTCTATAAAAATAGAATAGAGAACTCATGCCATGAAAGTAGCGATGTGCCAACTGGCCTTCTCAACTCATAGGCCTACCACCATCTTTAGGCTGCCCGTGTCAGCTGAAAAGTGGTAAATAAAACTCCACTGGTGTCCATTATACCTATTATGCGAAGAATCTGCTGACACCGATCTAGGAAATCCTAAGCATTCTCTGGCTCCTCCTCGTTGAGCTCTGGAGGCTTAAGCCTTCCGAACCGCGCCAATCTCTTTTGATCCTCATCAGTCATAGGTGGGCCAACCTCGGCCCGAGCAACAACAATCGACTGGGCTGGAAGTACCCCCAGTGTCTGGAGTCCCCTAACTACCTGCTATGGATTACGGGCGACAAGAGTCTGGGCACCTCCCGTGGCCTGTGAAGTGACTGGTGCAGCTGGAACTAAGACTGCCTGAGCCAGGCTCATGCACACAGTCAAAATCTGGGCTAAGGCCTCCTGAAGGCCTGGGATCACAATGGGCACATCTGGTTCCTGAGTTGGTCCCACTGACTCAACAGCATCTGGTATCTGCTCCCAAACTGCAGCAACTGATGGCTCCATAGGTGATACTTTGGCTGTAGTACTAGCCACACCTCGACCTCTACCACGGCCCCTGCCTCTCGCGGCCCTAGCTAGTGGTACTGGTGGTCGTCCGCCTGATCTGGTCGCACGTGTCCTCACCATCTATGAGAGAATAGAAGAGTCAAGTTTCAAAATTCGGAGTTAACAAATTCACACGATAAGAATGCAAGATAGTGAAGTTTCCTAATAGTTCGGTAGCCTCTCGAAGAAAAGTACAGATGTCTTCGTACCGATTTGCAAGACTCTGCTAAACTTGCCCATGACTCGTGACACCTAAGAAACCTAGTGCTCTGATTCCAACTTCTCACGACCCAAAATCCCAACCTGTCGTGATGGCACCTAACACATTTTCTTGCAAGCCGACAATCACATAACTGCTAAACATTTGAGTAAAACCTGTTTTAATAAACTCAACAGTGGAAATCTGATGGATGGCTATAATCCCGCATTTTAGTGGCTTATTACACTCTAATTCATTGCACTTCACTTGTGTTGAGCTTTAATTGCTAGTATTTTGTACTTATTGTGTGTTTTATGCCTAGTATGAGTGATTTCGAGTTATGTAGATATTATGGAATTAATTCGAGCTATTTGGAGCTTTGAAGTCTGAGTAAAAGCCCAAAGGATTAAGTCGGGATCGTGTTCAGGGGTCGAGGATCACTTCTGGATGTCAAAAATAAAGGAAGAAGCAACAGCTGAAGAAATGCACTAGTGCGATGCACTGGGCGACGCACTTTGCGACGCAGGAGTGTAGTTTTGTGTCAGGAATTGACAAAGTTCAGAAGTTGGGTTTCTGTGGTCTGACAAGAAAAAGCACTAATGCTACGCACAGTGCGATGCATGAAAAGCAATAAGTTTGCAAGTTTTTCTATTTCGGCTAGGAAAAGGGGGATTTCGTCTAGGACCGACCCTATTTGGTATAAATACATGGAAAAATGTTATTTTCTGGACTTTTGACATACTTTAGACCTAAGAAAGCTAAGGAGGAGTTGGAGAAGCAAAAGCACAAGGATTTCATCATTCCTTCCTCACTCAAGACCCAAGTTTGGTTTGAATTTATGTTTTCCTATACTTTAATTTTATTTGTGAAGAATTGCTCTCTGTCTATGGAATAGTGTAAGGCCCCGTAAACTTTTACTTAAACATCCGGGGTTTCATGGTGCTGAAGTGGACTTATGTATTGATTTTGGACTTTTTAGATTGAACAGTGCGTTGGGGAGTTGAAGAAATTTTTTAAAAGTGCATGGCGTTTCTGCGGTCCATTCTGCGGTCGCAGAACTGATCTGCGGACCGCAGGCTGAACCAGAAACTTGGGCATAATTTTTGGACCATTATGCGGTCCATTATGCGTCCGCATAATCATTTTTCAGGTCGCACAACCCATCACAGATCCAACACAAAAATTGTCACACCCCGACATCGGGAAGCGCGACCGGTGCTCAAGGAAGATACCCTGGATAAGCAAGCCTGCTAGATGCCTTCTACCTAACCTTGACCATGAACAATATAAGAATCAGTACAAGTAATAGACATGAGAAGAGTCAAATGTTCCACATTCTTTTTCCATTACTAAAGGATATTCATTTATGGTTTCCAAAATATTACAAGTTTATAGATATGATGAAAAGCATGTTTTCCCAAATACCAACACTTACTAGTTTAATTCCCAACATAAAACACCACCCACAACCTGC